AAGAAGTTGTAGAGCATTGTGAGAAAACATACATATATACCACAAGTCATCGGTACAAACCTGTGCCTGTATGTCTGAGTAGCTGGAGCTCTGGCTGCGTTCTAACTGGGTCTCCTTGAACAGTTCAATGTTCCCTCGACTGGCCAGCGTAGGCGAGCCTGTCGTCGCTCCCACAGTACTCTGCACCCGACGGACCGGCCGACTGTTATCTCCTGTACATAGTATCGATGGTGTGAGAAGTAGTGTACATTGAATATCAGTGACATGTAAATAATACATAAACAGGTAATCTATGGAAAGACATTGGCATACACAGCTATGTATGAAGCTTCGGTGGCATAGTTAATGCTAAGCGAGACATAGAAGTGGTACAAGAGAGAATAAATACGGATTCAGCGGTAGAAATGTAAATGTATCTGGAAGCGATAAGGATAAACTCTTACGAAACAATCGATGTCGAACAATTGCATATGGTGTACTAACGCCGATGCATCCAAATGCGCGCCCGTGTTTGTACTGAATGTATTCAAGTGCTCAGCTCCGTTATGCCGAATAAAGGTGTGGACAAATTTAGACATATTGACCATATCCAAATTCGTATGCACAAATACTTCCGACATAAAGTCATCCGACATATGTACAGAAACGTACTACATATTTCCAAATAACACCATAAGTAATTTATAGATGCAAGACCGCTCAGATATATGCGAGGTGAATAGAACCAAACATATGAATCCAAAACTTGTTATGCAAGTCATACAACAGGTGCACACACACACACACCGTCTTCTGCCGCTTCGTAGCCTTCAATCGCCGATCGCATCTAGAGGTGACCGGGATGGAAAAGCACGTATGCACAATTAGCTGACAGATACTGCGCGCATATTGTGGGCTAGGAATGACTGTACTTGCAGGGTAGCATGCACACTCACCCTAAACCCTAAAACCAAACCTTAAACCCTAAAACCCAATGTATTCGTGGAAGCCTTTGGTGGCAAAGCCACAGTCTCATTCTCACAAAACTATGCAATTATATAGTAACGAATTTTTTTTACGTTAATTTAAATTTACACCTGTGGCAAAGCGTTTATACTGAGTACACCCTTGATCTTCCTGGATTCTCTAGGGCGACTTGGCCAGACACTCACATATACATAAATATGTGCTCATTTATGAAGTTCGTCTAAAGTCCGAAGTACCTAACACAGGTACATACATATACAACTTGTGTGTGTGACATACACACTCACACACACATACACACATACATACACACACACACACACACACACACACACACACACACACACACACACACACACACACACACACACACACACACACACACTACT